AGTGTTAGACAGCCTCCTACTCACATCTATATGCTAAACTTTTAGCACCAATATCTCCTCTTTGAAACATTGATTTTTTTTAAAATTTCATTCAAATATTGATAATCAAGTCTAGTATCTATATAAAAAAATCACTTTAATCCAATTGACATATTGCTAAAAAATTTAGAAATACTCACTAATCCTTAAATTCTAATTTTTGAGATCTCAACCTACAAAAACCTTCATATACTTCAATCTAACTATTTAATTGACCTCAAAATTTGCATACATATTTAAAGCTAGCACATCAATATATTGCCTAAATTTCACCTCTACACACACCACTAAATTCAAGAAATCCTCAAATTTGTAAATATATTTTTATTTTTCAAAGCCTAATTCCACTAAAAACATTATTAATTCTAAAAATCCCTCAAAATCTCAATATTAATCTTAATGATATAAAACAAATGCTTAAAAATCTCTTCTCAAGTCTTCCTTTAAACTCTACTCTTTGATCTCCAAAAAAAACCCTTGAATCATCTTAGGTGTGTAGTTTTGTATCTCAAGGTCTGATTTCAATCTAGAATGACAACCGGTCCTCTTTGGATATCAATTCTTAGCTTCTTAAGGTAAATTTTGCTGAAATCTACTCTTAATTTTTTCCTATACATGTCTATATCATTTAATTTTCTAATTTACTTTGTTTTATTTTATTTATGATCCTACAAAATAAGTAAAAGGTCATTTTGTAAAAAAGCAATATTAACATATTTTAGTTTTGTTATCTTTTTGACTATTATCTATATTTTTAAGATAATTTTTTATAATAGTTTAAAACAAGATATTTTATAATATAATTTTTTCTTCTCTTTTTCATTCATTAGTTGTATTACATCATGATAGTCTACATAAGAATCAACAAAAAATCTAGTTAATGCATTGGAAAAGATATAGAAGTTTCATCAATGTAATCTTCAAAAATTAAACCTATTTTAAGATGACTTCTCAATGAAGCTATTGCTAGGATATTGTATATAAAGAAAAAAGTGAATATAGAACCAATGCTCCTCATAGAACTTGGAGTTAAAAAAAGAAGTGATATTATAGATATTCAATAAGAATATTATAAAAATATTCCATTATATTTTAGAAGGTTTAAATAATTCTAAAAAAATTCTTTAAAGTTTCTATAAAAATTCTTATAATATTCTAATAGGTTTTAGAAAATTTTAAGAGAATTATAGAAGTTATTGGAGAAACTTCTTAGAGTTGCTTCATCTTCAAGCAACATAGAAACTTCTTAAGAAGCTTCTTAATGCCTAATATATATCGGAGTGAAGGTTGAGGGGGTCTTCAATCTCAATAACTCATCTCTTGGAGCTCTAACTCATCTCTTTGATGTTAATCTTATACTCATTTGGTTTAATTAAGTTCTTGTTAGCGTTCTTGTTGAAACTCTTCCATTCAACTTTTTATTTGGTCTATAATATAGTATATCCATGATACCTTGATAGATATAATTTAATCTTTATTAACCTCCAAATAATCTTTGAGTAAATCTTAAGCAATCTTAAATAAGTCATATTCAAATTCTAATAAATCTCAACTAATCTCTACATAAATTCTAAAAAATCTTATCCAAACTTTAAAGAAACTATGATTTGCTTCTAACCAAGTCTTAATCAAATTCTAAAAAACTTCTAAGGAATTCTTAACAAATCATAATCAAAATCTTAAAAAAATTTAACTTAATCTTCACTGATTTCTAACTAAAATTTAATTAAATATTAACCAAATTCTAAAAAATCTTAATGAATCTCAAATAGAACTAACAAAAGATTAAAATCCTTGTAACTTTAAAATCAATTATTTCTTTCATTTAAAAATTTGCACACTTTTTGCATTATAATTGAAAAAAATTAAAAATATTTAGAGAAATTATATTTACAAATTAAAAGAAAACAAGATTGAATTGTACATGTATACAGCAACTTCCATCTCTAATTTCATTGTCAAATTTTTAGCACCAAGATCTCTTTCTAATATCAATAATTTGGTCTCAAATATTTTGTAGATATTAGAACTTTCTAGATACTAGTCTAATAAATTCACTTTAAGTTATTTCGTAGATTATTGGAAATCTTTGAAATCCTCACTAATCCTTAAACTATGATCTATTAGTATCTTAATTTATTTGAAATTTTCATATATTTAAATCGAACCAACAAACTAAGCTCAAACTTATATTACAAACTCAATACAATCATTTATTTTTCTAAAAATAATAACATGAACACTAACTTACCTTTTTTTTTTATCTTTTATCTATAATTTTAAAAGGAATTTTCTAGTAAATCTTAAAATTAAGACTTTTGAAAAAAATATCTTTATTTGCTATTTTATTTGATTATTGTATTACAATTCAATAACATTGACAAGACTAAAGATAACCTCAATCTTACCTCTATATTTACTAGATAATAAGAATATAATTTAGAAGTTTTTAAATAACTACAAGGTTTGTGAATCAGATGTCCAATTTGTAAGTTTTTTTCTTAGCCACTTCTTAAATATAAGGAATTTCTAAAACATCATACTTAAAGCTGCATGATATATCTAAAAGAATATATTAATCTTATATATTTATTAAAAGCTTCTCTCTCTCTCTTTTTCTCTCTCTCTCTTTCTCTCTCTTTCTCTCTCTCTCTCTCTCTCTCTATATATATATATATATATATATATATATATTATCAATATATTTTTACCAATTAATATTCTATACATAAAATAGACATTTATTACATACATCATATAATTAGAAGATAATGCAAAACTTTATTTAAAATAACTAGGTTTACAAAACAAATATTTGACTTGTATTTGTCAAATATTTGACTTGTATCATAATATTTGACTTGTATTTGACAAATACCTAATAAATCAAATAGTTTTTATAATTGAACTATCAGATTATAAGTGCATCTTGGTTTAATTTTAGTTTAATTTTAGTTTATTTATTTATTTATTTATTTTATTTTTTTGTAATCTTTAAGTGTTCTTAATTGGTCTTTAAAAAATCACATTTATTTATTGTAAATTTTTGTCTCCACATTAGATATCTTAAATGATATTTTTACATTATTATATTTTTTCCTTAATAATCAAATAATAGATATTTTCTTAGCACCTATATTAATATTTTAGTTGGTTACAAAAACCAAATAATGTGTAATATTTAGTATTTAATTATTTTTTCTTATTGTAATATATACTAAAATTTTATTTTTTAGTACAATGTTAAAACATGAAAAAAACATTACCTATGTTTAATTTTAGAATTTAGGTTTAGCATCCTATTCTATTTTCATTTTAACTTTTATACAAAAAAATGTATGTATATGTATGATATATTGTTTATAATTTCTTTTAGAAAGAAAAGTCAAATTATTTACTCTAATTAATACTTTATATATTTTTGGACATGGTGGGAGAAGAACCATATTCTAATTATACTAGTGTTAAACTAAGTTTGAAATTGTAACTATAGATTATCTAGTATATGTTGTAAACTCTATGTTGTCTTATCTTACATTAAACTACTATCTTTAATGTTTTTTAACATTTAGTTATTTAGCTTAAAATTATTTTTTATTCATAGATGTTTAGTTTTTTTAATACGTGTTTTTTGAAAATAAAATAAATATGAATAGCTTCACATATTTCTTTGTATTAGATTTTTTTTATTTTATTTTTAATTTTTAATTTTTCCTCTCTAGTGATGAAATTGTAACAATAACATGTTTTAGTTGGTGGATAAAAAAATTTAAGTAAATAAAAAAATAATTTATCATTTATATGATATGAAGAGAAGCGAACATTATTTTTATTTTATGGAGATTATGTTTTAGTATTAATTTTTCGACATCCGAAATGTATGCAATATTACTTTAACTTTGACTTCACATGTAGAAAAGACTTTTTCTCCTGTCCAAACAACATTTACTTGTGCAATATACATTCTTGCATCAATTGATCATTATGTATTTCAAATTTTGTCAACTATGTTGCTTATACACTTAAACTTGTAAGGTCATTACCACAAGGATATCAGTTTCAGAAGTTATAAATATACACTATTTAAAAAGCAGTCAATCTTACATAAGCAATTGCTCATACTTAGATGATGGATTTTAAGTAACGCTGCATAATAACAGAATTGATGACCTAGTGATGCCTGAGATAAAATAATCTACTACCATCATTGGTGCATTCGTGGCATGTTGATATGAAATTGAATTTGGTTATGTAAGTCGACACAGTTGTAGGCATGTTTTTGGCAATTTTGAAAAGTACAAATTCATGAATTCCAGAAAAAAAATAAAAAATCTTTAAGAGTATAGATTATATTTGATGGATCATGATTCACAAAATTCCAAAATACAGCATTTCGACATCCTTGTATTTTGTCAACTTATCAAACAGTAGAAGCTATTTTGATTGCTTTTAAGGAGGAAAAATAATTTGCTTAAGTGATACAATCTTGAATGGCATTAATGAAAAGAAAAGAAAACACTATTGGCACGAGTATTAGTAATGGAGACAGTATGCTATTTGAATGACTGAAAAAGTACACAAGCTACTTGGAATCTGCTGGACCCACAACTCCTTAAACTCACCATGCAAAATAATAGGAAACGGTTCCAGTTTAGAAACGAAATTATATCGTTTCAATCTATTACTGATAATTTTAATTTTTTCACATTCAGCATTGACTGAAAGGTTAATTATCAAAGTCCATGCAAAGAGTGATGTAGAACTCAGTTCATCTACTTATCACGGAGGGTAGCATTGCAGCATTTAATGAAACGCATTTTTATCTTAGATTTTTATTCTTACCCTCAGAGTGTTCATATTCTCTTCCTTTTCACGCTAAACCATTAAGAGACAAATTACATTCAACATTTTCAATAAAACATAATTCGGAAGATTTCACGTTATTTGCAGGACAGCAGAACTTCGAGAAAACTGTGCCAACTAGCATATGTTAATACATGTCTGTTCTGCTGTTACATATTTACTCTGTTCGACTTCACTTTTAAACAATAAGATCCTCCCAATGAGGTTCTAGCCAAGGCTGGAAAGTTACAACTACATCTCGTGTAAACTTATGGTGTGACTACGTAAGTTGGAACCACAGTAGACCGTTTTAATTTAAATGCAGTTCAGGGCAGGCGATCAAGGTTCTCGCAAAAGCTGAGAACAAAACTTGAGTGTCATCAAAACCGAAACCTACCCAAGCCTCTAATCTGAAAACTCATACACCTGAAGACTTCGTCGTTTTCAACCATCGGGATAAAACTAACTTTCGTATCAGAGGCACACGTAATGACGACCATCAAACAAAAAGAACTTGCAAATGTTCGAAACGTGCATAACACATCTAGAGAGTAGAGGAAAAGCCAGCAGATAATTTGTTCTGTTCAGTCAACTAAATACAGCTCCCAACGATGGCACAAACTCAACTCGATAAAAACATCCAGGCGATGGACAGGATGAAGAGTAAGAAAGAGTCCAGCAGCTTCATCAATCATTGGCAGAATGAAAAGTTCGGGAGACCTTACAGTTTGAGGAATACAAACTCCTCCACGGCGGGAATGTCGCCAAGTTTCTGGAGTGTAGCTTTCGAGGGCTCTTCGTCCACACCGATGGCCATCACAGCGTGCTCGCGGGGTGACTTACGACCCACACTCATGAACGAAATGTTCACATTCTCCTCTCCCAAGATAGAACCAACCTTCCCGATCATGCCTGGTTGATCTACCTGACGATAAAGGATAATGCTACCTTCTAAACTAACATCAACACTGAAGCTCCCCACCCTTGAAAGATATGGCACACCATCCTTCACCTTGCCTTCCAGAGTAATTGCTCCATTAGACTCTGAGCTAGCGAACTTTGATTCGACACCTGAGATCATCACCTGAAATAGAACAGAACACGTGAGAAACGACTATTTTCTACAAGACTAAAAGAAGCAGGGTACGATGAAAACAACACCAGATGAACAAAAGCGAAGAAAACGGGTTCAGAAGCTCACCGAAATAGACTGCAGGGGGACTTCAATAGCACCATCGGTAGGCTGCCTCTCCTCACTGATCTTCAAACCACGTTGTTTCGCCACATAGTCAGCGTTCACCAAGTTGATGAACGCACTCGACACTGGTTCAATCAAACCCTTCGTGATCATGGCTCTCAACAACCTAGTGTCCAAGTCATCATCAGCACGGGCGGATCTGTACACCACTTTCACCTGCTTGACACCGGCACCTCCTGACACCAATTGCACTGCGAGTCTTCCCAACCTCTCAGCCAACGACACGTAGGGAGCTAACTCTGTGATAACCTGTGAAAAATGTTAACACGAACTGTATCAGAAGCCTGTAAGACTGATATTGTCATGATAATAAATTGTGACTAACCCAAAAATTAAATGATTGGACATACACCACCAAGACATATCAGAGAATGTTGAAGAGACAAGGAATTGAGATTCGTTTGTATACTAAAATAACGCAAATAACAAGAGTTCATCAACTCAAACCTCTGCGGGAACCATAGGGGCATTTACTGCCGTTGCTGAGAGCTCTCCTGCCAGAGCCCCCGCTACGGCCTCCGCAATTTCCACAGCAACCCCTTCCTGCATAATGCAATAGAGCACGCATTAAAAAAACTACATCACTCCAGGTCGGCATTGTAAACTTGCTATGTCTGAAAACAAACGACGGTTAAACTGCATCCCCTTTCAGATTACCACAACCAATCCAGAGTATTGGCATGGTCGAATTACGATGAAAATCCAACGCAAAATCCCTGGCCTCGCCAAGCGACACATCGAGGAGCATTCCACAATGCACGTGGTACAGCACAGTATCTTGTGGAGGCAGTGGATCTAATCCGAGGCATCAACTGATTACCTGAGCTTCCATGGTGCTCGCACCAAGGTGAGGCGTGACGATCACGTTCTCATGATTCACCAGGGCATCACCTTCCGGAGGAGGCTCCACAGTGAACACGTCCAATGCAGCCTGTCATACAACGCACGCAACATCTTAACATCTTCCGACCACGTGACTTGCGATGAAATTGGGAGGATTGAACAGATCGCCTTCGCAGGAACCGATGCCATTTGTTAGATGGCACAATCTTAGTATAAACACAAACTCTTTGCCACCTTATCCACACGTAAGTCACTTCATCAATCTACCGAACATCCACCAACCTGAGCCACGATGCCTGCATCGAGGGCTCGAACAAGCGCAGGCTCGTCGATCACACCTCCTCGTGCGACGTTGATGATGCGCACACCCTTCTTGCACTTCCCAAAGCTCTCGTCGTTGAAAATCTTGTCCGTCGTAGGTGTCAACGGCATGTGAAGAGAAATAAAGTCTGCCGTAGCAAGTGCTTCCTCGAAGTTCACTAACTCCACTCCCACAGCCTTCGCGCGTTCAGCCGAAGCATAGGGGTCGTAGGCCACAACGTGCATTCCAAGACCTTTGGCTCTGCGCGCCACTTCAGAGCCCACCTTGCCGAACCCCATCACAGCCAGTGTCTTATCCACCAGGGAAACACCAACCCACTTGTTCCTTTGCCACTTTCCTGCAGGCATTAAATGATCACATCTACTGCTGACCAAACTTGCGATCCCACGAAATTCATCCATCTTGCAGCAGTCACAGTGCAATTGTCATAGATGCAACCGGAGTGTCAGGGAAAAATTGCACATACCGGCCTTCATAGACGCGCTGGCCTGAGCAACATTGCGGGCCATTGCGGTGAGAAGGGCAATGCCATGCTCAGCGGCCGCCACAGTGTTGGCAGTTGGTGCATTAACGACCAGGCAACCAACTTCAGTAGCAGCCTGCAGGTCGACGTTGTCAATTCCCACACCCGCTCTTCCAACAACCTGTATGGCAGAAGGACTTCAGTTCGAAAATATTGCAAATGTTCTCAGGTCACCAATAAAATCCATCAGTAGCTGAATACGCTCAGGAATCCTACTTCTACTAAGGACAGACTACTGAGGAACGAGAAAAACCACAGAAGAGACTGAGGGAGAGCATCACTCCAATCAGTACGCCGATATCTTGATATCAGTCCCAGTAAATTGTCCATTCCGAGAAAGACACAATGCCTTACTCACCTTCCCACTTCCAGAACGTTATTTGTTGTATTCTTTCAGGTGTGTATATATGTATTTACACGCACACATTTACGTACATACACCGAGAGAGAGAGAGGAAGCGAGAAGAAAAAATCCTTCGCGCAAATTACAACGCAGGATGTGTTGTGGTCCTACGAGGCAATTCGAGAATACTCCTGGAGTATAAGATAACGTAGATCAGAACCCTCAAATCTTTAGACGTTGTGAAAGTCGGCCTCGAGACTACCGATTGTCAGCATCTGGCACAAAATCACTATGTAATCACTTCCAAAGAATTATACTTAACAAATCCTTCCACAGCGTAAGAGAGGAGAGACCAATTAATTATATGGCGAAAAAATAGGTCTCTCACAGAAAATTACCTTGAGGCGACCCTTGGATGCCTCGAATACCTCGCGAGTAACCTTCGTACCACTGCGCACGATCAAAGCATCGCAGTCTGAAATCTTCGCACACAGATCCTCCTGAGACAGATTGTACGAGCAATCTACGACGGCCACCTTCTCTAGCAACTCGATACCCGCTGCGCCCAGCTTCTCAGCTACCAACACGGTGGGCTTCGCTACAGATTTCTCGTTCTTGGTAGCAGTTGGCGAGGCCGCGGCTGTGCTGGCAGAATTTACGGCCATCACCTTCACAGCTCCAACCCACCTAACACCTACATTCACTACTCTTCCGCTCACACCGGCCCTGCTCGCCAGCACCGAATTCCTCCCAAAACTCACTCGGGACGCCAGATGACACTCTTGCTTCTGCGCCACTCCAGACCTTACCGCCATCGTGGTGCCGATGCAGGTGGAACTTCTCGCCGTGGTAGCCATCGCAGCTGTCTTCACCTCCCGGCACTTGGCAGCGCACAATCTATAGTCACGCAAGTGTGCACGAACACTCCTGCAAATCCTCACGCCCACAGCTCCGCAACCAAGGCATGCAAGCACGAGATGTACTGCGGCATGCACAAATCAAAACTCCTAGTTAAACCCCGGCTTGGCTTTAAGTCCCCATCTTGGCTGGTTTCGGTGCTAGGGCTCCCCTGTCGCACTTTTCGTTACGTGTTCCCCGCCTCTTCCCCTGCAGGTCTTGTGCCACGGTCTTCAGGCCCTCCTCCTGTTTCGACGTCAATTTCCTCTAACCAGCCGACCATTCGCCGTCTGTGGCGACAATTGCGCCGCAAAGGGGTACCGGTATTCATCCCTGATGGCACGAGGGACCGAAGCTCAAACGTCTCCGTCCTAATTTAGCAGAATAAATATCCCGTTTGCTTTCTATTCAGGATTTGATGATGAGCTCCTACGACGCGAAAGCGATGATATCGGGCTTCACTGTTCGTTGTCAGGTTTTGCCGGGGGATTTGCCGTGGGCAAACCCTAAAACCGTTAGGCGGATTCGGATGATGTGCACCTCGTAACCACGATGTTAGGTTGTTACCCGTCACGATTCTCCAATCCCAAGTGCCGACAGATTCTTAGGGCTCGGAAAAACCCACCGATACATACATTTTTTTTTCTTTTGTTTATTTCACATAAGAAGATGTATCCTTCATTCAAAACACATACTCACACACACACACACACACATATATATATATATATTTACACATTTATACATTTTAATGTGCCTATGTCTCAAATCTCCAAAGTTAAAATTTAAAAATTTACATGTTTGAGGAGAATTGTAATTTATTTAAACTTCAAGCCTACATCTTAATTGACTAGCATATTATGCTCAATATATGCCCTGAAAAATTTGGTTTATATATATATATATATATATATACACACACCTTATTGTTATTATTATTATTATTATTATTATTATACTTTTGGATCATTTTGACATTTTGAATGATTATGCTTAATTATATTAAATAAATAAAATTATTTATTTATTTAATACTAATCTATAATTTATGTCTAAATATCTTATTACTATTTTTCCTCCAAACAGCCCCAACATACAATTCTTATAATTAATAGACCAAAAAAAATCAAATTTACTAAATTTTGTAGACCTTTATTAAATATGGCTTAATTGACATTGATAACTAGCTATAAATTTTAGAAAAAAGATCATTTAAAATTAAATATGTATAGAAAATTCCATTGCTTCTATATTTATTTAATGACTAAGAACTTTTAAAATTATTATAGTATAATTTCATCCATTTATAGATTGCATAATTCACAAATATTCATTCTCATTCAATGTTAAATTTCCACCTATTAATGCCAATTCTTTAACGTTGACTTAGCCAAATGAATGCACATTTTTTTTTTGTTATAGTATTATTCCAATCACTTTTTAATTTAATTTTTTTTTAAGAAGTATAGAATATAATTTTACTTAATTGATTGAATTAAGTTAGAATAAATTTCACCACTCAATCGAAATTATAAGATGGCCTTACTTAAAAATTGCTTGTAATTGGTGGTGTGAAGTGAAAGAAGCAAATAACAAGAACAAAACAAGTCAAAAGAATGTAATCAAGCAATTACATATTTTAAAATTAGTTATAATCACTAAATTTTTATGTAATTAAAAACAAAAAAATAAAAATATTTTTTAAAAAAATATTTCTTATAACATAAAAATATATTATTCAAAATTATTTTAAATAGATTATAATAACTTAAAAATTGAATCTAAATAATAAAAAGCTAAATAAATATATATTTTTTAAAAAATAAGTTGCTTAAGAGATTAAAAATTTGAGCCTCACCAAGGCTTACTAGTAGTGTATCAAGGTGTTCTAGAGAGGCTATAAGGTCTTGTCATCCTAACTACATCCAAGGTGCTACAACCCATGTAGGACATATACATCTTTTTTTTCATAAGGACTATTTATCTCTATTTTCTACTAGCAAATCTATTCATTTTTTATTTTTGACTTCACTACGGTAATAATAAAAACACCAAATTAGCCTAATAAAACAATAAGGCCTTCAAATCTTGCTCCATTTCTTTAAAATGGCCTCCCAAAGTGGTAAAAATTATTTTTATGAAAGTCTTGAAAATTGATATAATTTTTTTAAAAATAATATATTTTTTTTATAATAATTAGTATAAATTTAAATCTATTTTTTTCTACCTTAATAAAAAAAATTATAATAAAAAAATAACTTATATGAACTCAAAATCTTAATTTAAACATAAATAACTAAAAAGACATGAATTTCTTTTTTCAAACTTCTTCTACATACTAAATATCATTTATAGTTTTTTTATAAGTAGTATATGTGAATAAAATTCCAATATAGACATTGGCTTTGATATTTAAACATTAGTTCTCAAAATTAAAAGAAAATATTAAATCCACTAAGATAATTGCCTTTAAAGTTTACTAAGACTCTATTTTTATTATTTTTTTCTAATAAGACTTTTGTAATTTACAAATTCTTTTAAATTCTATTAAATATTTAAACTATAAAAATCTTGAATCATAATATTTATGTATCTAAGTAACTTAAAATTATACTTTTAATAGTTCCACAAATTAACATCTACTGATAGAACTTACTAATTAATTTAAATATTTTTGTGTTTATAATTGAGTTTTTTTTTTTTTCTTTATATTCTTTTAAAAAGTTAATATATATATATATATAAAAGTTATAATGATTATTGCTATATATAAAGAAAATAAAAAGTCTTAAGTTAAGACAAAAAATATAAGAAAGATATTAAAAAAATCAAAAATAGTATTTATTTTTATTTGTATATATACTAAATAACAAATTGAAGGAAAAAGTATGTAAGTTGTGAACAACTTTTATAGTAGATTCATAGAAGAAGTTTTCATAATTATATACTATATCTAAGAAAAACTAGATTTATTCTATGTTTAAAAAAAATAATTACAAAATTTTAAAAAATTACTATCTACTTTACATGCTTTACACACACACACACACAAATATATATATATATATATATATATACACACTTATTTCTATTAATTTATAATTAATTTTATTTTCTAATGTAATATATGCATGTATTGTATTTTCTTTTTTATTATTATTTTTTATTTTTTTATTTATTCTAAAGACCAATTCTACAAAAATTAGTCATGTTGATTAATTAATTAATAAAATTTAAAATATTTCAAATATTATTATTTATAAATATTAATATTTACTCTATACAAAGGTGGTTGATAAGATCTTTAAGCAATTAATAATTTTTCATATTTAGATAGAAAGATTATTAAATTATTTGGTCATTATTAAAGTTTTTATAACTATTTTTAAGAAGCTAACTTAATATGCCATATATGTTAACTTTTAAGTCTTCTTTTTTTATGTCTTTATCTTTTGGAACTTTTTGATTATATGTTTTTTTTTATGTTTTCATGTATTTTTTTGTTCCCTTGCAATGTTGCAAGTGTCAAAATTTAATATCTCATAAATATGTAAAATCTTATAACTTAAAGAATTTGATTCTCAAAGATATTATGTTAGAAACATATAAAACTTTGTAACTAAAAGGATCACTGATTGAATCTTTAACTGGAATTTGAATTCTAATTTTAATTATTTTAAGAGGACTTATTGGAATCAAAGTATCTTTAGATATATAAATATTTATGAATAGGATTGAATCTTCTTAAAAAATAATTTACATAAGATCTATTGTAAAAATGAAAAAAAAAATTCAAAGAATTTTTATTTTTTTATTTTAAAGAAGTAGAATATTTGATCAAAAGAAAAAAAGACTAAAAAAATATTCCAGTATCATCACAAAATATTCTTCAATGTCTAATTCTATGTCATAGAAAGTAATATTCTAAATAGTAAGTACTTGGACTAGTAGTGATCTTAAACATGGTATTATAGACACAAATTATACAAAATAGTTTTACATTGTTGTATTGTAGTATAACTATATGGTGAAAGATAAAAATATGGATTCTATTATTGAAGAGTCTAATTAAAAGATATAGTAGTAAAACATAGATAAAAGATAGGAAGGTAGTAAAAATATTTAATTTTAATGATGAATTTTTGTAAAAAGGCCATAAATATTATCTTACTTATTTTATATAGTCATAAAAAAGGCCATAAATATTATCTTACTTATTTTATACAGTCATAAAAAAGGAAATAAAAGATTATATTAGAAAAAGAAATATTATAAATATCTTTAGAAGAAAATTAAGAATAATTTGGAGCAAAAATTACTTTAAAATATCAAAAATTGGTACCTATAAAAGATTGATTGTGAAGTAGAGGTGAAATTAGATCCCAAAGCACAAATCCACATTCTTATAGCAAATACAATGTTCATTTGTAGATTAAAGATAAAGCTTTAAGAACAAACTAAAGTAAAGATCTTTAAATGTTAATTTTGAATAATTTGAGTTTGTAATAACTTTGTAAAGGCTTTGCAAAGTCAAGGTTGATTTGGGATGGCTTAGAGTTTTGAAATACATAAAAAATTTATATTATAGAGAATTTTGTGAGATTGACAGATTATCTATAAGTGAAATTTAGAAAATGTATAAAAATAATTGTGTTGTATGTATATTATAAGTTTGAGCTTAATCAAATAATTCATTTGAAGACTATTAAAATTCAATTGTATTGAGGCCTCAAGAATTAGAATTTAGAGGATAAGTGAGGATTTTTTAAGATTGTAGCAATCTACTAGTTAAATTAAAATAAAAATTTTACATTAATATTTGATTTGATTTTAAATAAGTGTATAAAATTAGAAAAAAAAATTAATAATAAAACTAAGAAATATTGAAATTAGTAGATTGACATCAAAGCTAAAAAATATCATTAATATACATATTTATGCCAATAGTTACCTTGATAATATGAATAACTAGCAATATGTAAAAGTAGATTAACTTAAAAATATCTTCTAAAGAAGCTTCTTAGAAGTTTTATAGATGTGATTCTACCTTAATACATGTTTAAAGGTGATTGATAAGTTAGAAACTTAGCCAAAAAGTTAGCCACATGTCGCATATATTGATAGTTTGT